TACATCCTCTTAAAGGGAGCTTATGATGCTGTGCAGTTTTAGGCACTTTAAAAGTTTATTAATATTATTCAATATATAAACACAATATTTTGACTTCATTCTCAACATTTTGTCTTAACTGACTTGGTGAGGAAGAGGAAAAAAGTATTCCCCCCTTTTTTTTACTCAATGTGGCCAAAATACTCAGTTGTAGTATTTAGATCTTCCTTCTCTATCTGTAATGGGGGTTTTTTTTGTGTTTGCTAACTGGAAATTAAAACGAAAAATACTCCCTGTTTGAGAATAAAAAAAAATAACCTTTTAAAAGTAATTTAAATCTTCAGCAACAAAAATTAGCATTTCTGTACAATTGTAACTTCAGTTTTAGAAAAGGTTTAAATAGGCATAATATGGAAAATTATTCACTATAAAATTACAGAAAAAAACTGAAACACCTTTTTAAAACCATCCCTGACATCAAAAGCATAAAGTTGTTGACAGACTTCTTTTTAACGTGGATCAGTCACTGATGAGGGTGGAAAAAGCATCTAGCTGCTACGGTTTAAAATGTATGTATAATTGGATGTCATCTGCAGAGATGTGGTTTGAGATATCAGAAAATAAAATGTCAGCTTGTGGGAAAAATATAAAATGTAAATAATGGGCTCAGAACTGGACTTTGTGAAACACTGCAGGTTAGACGAGCAGAACCCGAGAGGAACTTTAATCCAGAACTTTATGTTAGATAAGAAGTTAACAAGTCTAATGTAGAGCAAAAAATATACAGTGAGGAAAATAAGTAGTCGGGTTTTATTTTGTCATTTTGAACACACAAGTGTAAACAAAAATAAAATTTGTTGTGTACAGCTCTCTAAACTATTTCATTTCTTAAAGTGTAGGTAAGCAGCAGAGATAAAAACAGTGTGATGAAAAAATTATATAAACATCTGACTGTGCAGTTACAGTTCCAACATTTGAGATTTTATTTATTTTTTTAATGACCTATTTTACATAACATTCAGCAGTCTAATGGCAGTGGGGAAGAAACTGTTCTGGAATCTGCTGGACCTGCATCCGATGCTTCAAAGTCTCTTTCCAGAAGGCAGCAGGGAAAACCATCCATGTTGGGGGTGTGAGGGGTCATTTATGATGTTACTGGGCTCAGGACATGCAGCACTGGGATGTATGTGAACACATTGCTATTTTGTAAGTTCTCCCACTTACAAAATCATTGAGGGGTCTGAAATTGTCATCTGTTAGACATAATCTAAAAAAGGAATGCCGTAATCACAATGTATTATTTCTTAACAAACCAATGTTAATATTTGGTACAGTAGCCTTTGTTTGCAGTTCCAGAGGTCAAACGTTTCCTGTAGTTTTTCACAAGGTTTGCACACACAGTAGGTGGGATTTTGGCCCACTCCATCCACACAGGTTTCTGAGGAACATGGAGTTAAAGCACCCTCCAAAGATCCTCTATTGGGTTTAGGTCGAGACTGGTCAGGTCACGCCAGAACCTTGATATGCTTTTTACAGAGCCGCTCCTTGGTTATCCTGTCTGTGTGCTTTGGGTCATTGTCATGTTGGAAGACCCAGCCTCCACCCATCTTCAATGCACTGAGGGAAAAATCTTGCAATACATGGCCCCAGTCATCCTCTCTTAAATGCAGTGCAGTCCTGTCCCATGTGCAGAAAAAAACACCCCCGAAGCATGATGCTACCACCCCCATGCTTCCCAGTAGAGATGGGGTTCTTGGTATGGTACTAATTATTCTTCCTCCAAACACAGCTAGTAGAATTATGACCAAAAAGTTCTATTTTAGTCTCGTCTGACCACATGACTTTCTCCCATGACTCCTCCGGTTCATCGAAATGGTCATTGGCAAACTTAAGTCAGACGTTGACATGTGCTGGTTTAAGCAGGGGACCCTTCCATGCCATGAATGATTTCAAACCATGATGTCTTAGTGTATTAACCACAGTAACCTTGGAAACGGTGGTCCCAGCTCTTTTCAGGTCATTGACCAGCTCCTCCCATGTAGGTCTGGACTGATTTCTCACCTTTCTTAGGATCATTGAGACCCCACAAGGTGACATCTTGCATGGAGCCCCAGTCTGAGGGAGATTGACAGTCATGTTCAGCTTCTTCCATTTTCTAATTATTGCTCCAACAGTGGACCATTTTTCATCAATCTGCTTTCCAGCCTTAAGGAGGTGTACAATTTTGTCTCTAGTGTCTTTGGACAGCTCTTTGTTTGGTTTTGGTCATGTTAGTTGTTGGATTCTTACTGATTGAATGGGGTGAACAGGTGTCTTTATGCAGCTAACGACCTCAAACAGGTGCATCTAATTTAGCCTTTTCATAACACGAGGACCCAAATTTGGGTCCTCAGCACTCGTCCCAAGATGGTTTTTTAGACCTGTAACATATTCTCTGGGGTCTTGCCTTTATTTTGATACCAAAACAATTAAAATAAACTCTGTAGTTCTTGAGATATATTCAATTCATTTTGGGCATGTTATTTTCAAGCATATTACTCGAAAACAGGCCTAGTGTCCAAGAGGTTAAGATAATAAATGGAGTGGAGGTGGACATTTTTAAAAGCAGACTAGCAGGTCTTTGAGGATCAGAACTCAAGCTGATAGACAGGTGTTAAGATACTTATTTGCAGCTGTATCATGCAAATAAATAGTCAAAAAATTCATATATTGGGATTCTTGGATTTTTTTAAATTATGTCTCTCAAAGTTGACATTCACCTACGATGACCATTTCAGACCCCTCCATGATTTCTAAACTTCAAAACTTGCAAAATAGCAGGGTGTTCAAATACTTATTTTCCTGGTTGTATTTTCAGTTCTGTGGTCAACAGTTTGAAAGGCATGCTGAAATTAAATGGCACCATCAATGAACATTTTTCTGAATGAAAAAATACTTTTCTATGTAAGGCAAAAAATATCAGAATTGAAAGCCTTGACTTTAAAGTAATAGAGTCCCATTTTAAACAGCTTTGGTTTATTCAGCATAAGGAATTCCTACAGGAGGCCGGCATACTGTAGCTCCTCTTTTCCCTTTTCTGGGTGATGCAGCCTCCCACAAACTTCTACTGACCCCAGATGGTATTTAGGACTCTTCTGCATCTGATTCTATAGTCAGGGACCAGTTATAGGAAAAACCTAGATTATAGCCTTACATTGCAATAGTGTGTCAAGAAAAGCCAAGACAAGCCTCCTTTCCCACTACAGCAACAAGCAATGTGCTGCAGATGGTGCCCCATTCCCATTTTAATGTACACTCTCCAGCCTTGTTATTAAAAAGAGTTTTTTTTCATCTGCTAGGTTAAAGCTGTTATATCCCTTTAAGATTTTGTTCCACACTGACCCAAAAAAACATTATGCAGTATTTGCAGATTTATTAGTTGTGCATCCATAATATAAATCATCAATTCAATCGTATCCAAATGCTGCTCTGCTGGATGGAGACCGGTGGAAACCATTGGAGCACAGAGGAAGTATTGTCCTGTCAAAAAAAAAAACATAAAAAGATGATTTAAGCTTCAAATGACTGGTACACTGATTTCCAATGGGTAAAAAATATGCTCTTCAACCATATTGAGGGATAGTGAGGTGTTTAAACAAGGCTTAAAGCTATAGTGGAGGATGTTCTTTTTTTTCCAGGTGGATCATCAAAATAAGTGGTCCTCCAAATTGACAATCATTCTGGTGACGTTTACGTAAGGCTGTCCTACTTGCTCGACCCCGTTGTCAACGGTGGTGAGTCTGACATGGTAGTGGAAAAATTGCAAACCTTCTTTTGGAAAGAAAGCTTGTATGAGTGTTGCAAAAAACAACTTTTAAACGAGCGTGCACGAGGAAATATGGTCTTGTGCACGCACTCGCACGTATTTAATAGGCCTTTCCTCTCTGGAGCGGGTATAGGGTTGTGCATTTTTACTTATTTATTTTTTTCTTTTAAGTGGAGAGGTCAGGTATTTTCAAACGTTTGCAAAAATCTTCCACTATATCTTTAATTAGTAAATAATTTTATATTGAATAAATATCATATACTCATCATAGGTAGTAATTGTAATGTTAGTATTAGTATTTGTAACCAACTATCTTTTAAAATGGGGGAAAATAAATGTTAAACATTTCCGAATACTTCAGATTGTTGAAAGAAAGGAAAGAGTTCAAAACGTGTCAACTGGAGGAGGACATTAATTTGATAATACTGACCTCTAGTGGACAAAACAAGAAAGCGCTTTGTGAAGACTTTTTTTTTCTCAAAATGCTGACTTTAATCTCAGAATTCTGACTTTTTTTTCTTAGAATGCTGACTTTAATCTCGGAATGCTGACTCTAATCTCAGAATTCAGACTTTTTTTTTCTCAGAATTCTAACTTTAATCTTAGAATTCTAACTTTTTCCCTCATAATTCTGACTTTAATCTCAGAATTCTGACTTTTTTTCTCAGAATTCTGTCTTTAATCTCAGAATTCAGAATTTTTTTTTAGAATTCTGACTTTAATATCAGAATTAGAATTGATGGGCACCATGAAGGAAGAGATGTGGGAGATGTGCGTTGAGAGAGCTAGTCTCTAAATTCAGAGATTAAAGTCAGAATTCTAAGACAAAAAGTCAGAATTCTGACTTCCTTTTATCATCATTTTATTTCCCATATAAAACTGAAGTAATATTTAAAAATCTGTTAACTTTTTTATTTTTTCAGAGACCCTAATCCTCTTCTGTACACATTAGTCAGATTATTGGTAAAGAAAAGAAATATATATATTTCGAAAGTTTCCATGAGCCGCAACTGGTCCCTCAGTCGGGTTACATAATCCCAAAATGTTAATATTCTATGATGAATTTTATGATTATTGAATCAAGAAGCCGCGGATGACATCACAGCTGACTACAAACTTTTTTTTTTTTTTTTTGCGTAATTCTCACCCGGTCACAGTTTTTTCCATGCCCTGTAAAGTGACTTGCCTGAACTTGCAGCTGGCTCCACCCTCCGTTCCTCAGCCCGCTACGTGTTGAGCCTGGAGCCTTTAAGCAGCCCAGCATCCCAGAGGAACTTCTATATGCAGGAAACGCTCCACTTTCTCAGCAGAGACAGGTTTGTCAGCTCTCAACTTCAATGGAGTGTTTTCCACTCGAAGAAAACACATTTAATATCTGAGCAGGCCTGAGATCTGCGTGGAAATAGATGATATATGAACCCACGGAGAGCCGCGCAGAAGGAGAGAGGAAGAGGGGAGGTGGGTGTTGGATACAAAGCTGATTGTTTTCTTTCCTTCCTCTGTTGTGATATAATGTTTCATTTGGATTATAGTGGATAAAGCTGCAAGCTGAAGTGTTTCTTTTCTTTCTTTTTTTTTTTTTTTACTTCTTATGAACATTTTAAGGAAGATATTTTAACTTTGCAAACCTTAAAGATCTTAGATCAGAAGATAAAATGAGTAAATCTGAAGCAATGACGTTGAAAGCCAGAGTGTTGTATGATTTCCACGCGGAAAACCCAGGAGAGATTTCCATAGCAGAGAATGAGTTGGTGACTCTGTTCAGTGAGGAGGAGCTGGAGGGCTGGTTGGAGGGGGAAAACAGCCGGGGTGAGGTTGGCCTTTTCCCTGCCTCCTATGTTGACATCATCAGGGACCAAATCACTTCCAGCACAAGCAACAACGGCTTCTCCTCCCCCAAGACCATAACCCAGTCCCCCAGCCACAGCTCGTACGCGTCGCCTGACCCCCACTCGCAGAGGAAGTTCAAGGTCGGCAGTGGTGGAGGAAGCAGCTTCAACACCAGCCAGGGCAGCGATGACGACTGGGATGATGACTGGGATGAAAGCTCTCCTGCTCAGTATGAGCCTCAGGGTTTCGGGACCAGCCCTCCATCGTACCCGGTCACTACCTCCCTGCCCAGCCGGGGGAGCGGCCAACAGCAGCAGCAGGCGAAGAGCTCGGCAACAGTGGGGAGGAACCTCAACAGGTTCTCTACCTTTGTCAAGTCCGGAGGGGAAGCCTTCCTGCTTGGGGAGGCCGCTGCTTTTGTCAAAGACGGGGACAGGATCTGCGTGGTGATGGGGAAGTATGGACCGGAGTGGCAGGAGGACCCTTATCCATTCACATGCACAATTGACGACCCCACCAAGCAGACCAAGTTCAAAGGCATGAAGAGCTACATGTCTTATGGTCTTACCCCAACGCACACAAATGTACAAGTCAACCGCAGGTATGCAATTTCAGAAATCTCCTTTTCCATCCATTGAAGCCGACCCATTGGATTCTCGACCTAATCTCTGTTTCCAACCCCTTTAACTGCAGGTATAAACATTTTGACTGGCTCTACGCGCGGCTCGTCGAGCGTTTCCCTGTCATCTCAGTGCCCCACTTGCCAGAAAAGCAAGCTACCGGCCGCTTTGAGGAGGACTTTATCTCTAAGAGGAGGAAGGGCCTGATCTGGTGGATGAACCACATGACAAGTCACCCCGTCCTGGCCCACTGCGACGTCTTCCAGCACTTCCTAACATGCGGAGCGGACGAGAAAGCCTGGAAAATGGGCAAAAGGAAGGCAGAGAGGGACGACTTGGTCGGGGCAAACTTCTTCCTGACGATCAGGTAAGAAACCCATCCATTATCACTGCAGAAGATGAAATCAGGGATACCTTGGTTCCACAACCCATCCCTCTCTGTGCCACTATTTGAGTTGCAGATACTGTAAGGAGCGTATAAGTGTTTCAGGAATGCAAGAATAAAATATGTCTGCAAGTCAAATTTCTTTCTTATTTAAAAATATTACACACATCCTTGTAGCTCCTACTGTCTGTAATTCTAGGTCATTCTAGGTCTCTAAAGATAGTTTGCTGCATCCTGATCATTCCTGTCACATATTTAATGCATAGTAATAAAGAAGTAATGGCAAACTTGAGGGAATCTATTGCAAAACAATTGGTAAATATTGTATTGATGTATTATAGAACTTTGCATTCATTTCTATCCTTTCAATGTTTTTTTTTGTGTGTGTCTGCAGTCCATTTTAATCAAGCTGTTTGGATTAACAAAACAATCAGTCAGACATTGAATCATTCCAACGGTGCTGTATGATGGTTGTTTCTTTGTATTGCTGGTTGTTCTTCAAAAGCATAGTGGGAGTCATTTACATGTTCAGTTGACCTCTGATCATTGGAAAGAAATGCAGTGGCATTTGATCAATTTTTAATGTGCAGGGTAGTCTGATAGATCTCATGGAGGGAAACAAGATGCCTTGAGTCTCAAAACCAAGCAAAAAAGACCTGATCCAGGAGGCATGCTTTTCTTTTAGTAAAACTTTATTTTTAATGTACTTCAGATTCACTGCAAATATCATCTGAATGAGCTTTTAAGACTTATAAATCCATTTAAATAGAATTTAATTTAATCAAAATTCCGAGGTAAATACACAACATCATATTCTATCCAATTTATAATGCAATACCACCAATTCAGACATTTTTGATTTATGCCCGATATTGAAGCCTGGTCTGTGTTATGTTTATTCCACGCCACAACGCAAAAGGGGAAAATCACGAACCAGCTGTGGGTCTGGATATGGCCGAGGCGGTGAGGAGGTGGGGGCAAGTTTGTGTGACAACGGAGAAACATGAGGGCAAAAAAGAACGGGGATCCAGGTGGAAAAAGCCTCCCAGCGTTCTCAAGCACCTCGCTCTTCTAGCTGGTCCATCTTCACGAGTCGTTTTCCGCAATGGCGGTCATACAAACAAAACAAGCCGGTAAGGTACCTAACAGGAAATACGCATAGTGTAGAGTGGATGTAGATTTGACCAATCAGAGGCCTCCTGTCTGTGGCACTGTTTGCGGTCACCTCAAATTTGGGAGAGGTGCAGCAGAGTGTCTGCGGAAGGGGCGGGGACGTCTCTGCATTCACAGCAACCCCTACGCAGACGACCTAGTTTCGAAGTATAAATCAGCCTTAAGAGTGACCTCTCTGTTGGGACATAAAGAGACTCAGTCTGTTCCACTCTGGGAGGACTTTCTATGGAAGTTCAAATCAAAGCGTTCTCAGGGTTAATCGCAGCAACTCCTGAGCCGATGACTGTGTCCAGGAAAAACATTTGAACTTAGCACATAACATTCTATGGGGGAAAAAACAGTCAATGACAGATGTAATCGTTTAAATATATTTGTCAAAATAGAACATAGCTAAACACGGGATTATTTTCTAAAGACAGAAACAAAGAGATGAGACAGAGTCAATAATGGAAACAGGGCTTCAAATTAGGAAAGTAACTCTGTTAAACAGGAAAGCACCAGATACCTAGTAATTTCTATATAAAAGAAAACTAAAGAAAAATGCCCAAAGTCAATGACAGCAACAGTTCTGACAAGGTTTTCATCTAGAAAGAGACAATACCAAACAAATAGGGGTGTATACAGTGTTTTCTGAGACTTTACCAATCAGTTTTGACAAAATTACTGGATAAAATTGCTTATAGTTGTTACAAAAATGCAGCCAGGACAGATTGCCCATGAGATTTCCCAATCCATGCAGGATTCAAATTATTATTTGGTTCTCAAAAATAGCACGCTATCACTAAAGGCTGATTTATACTTTGAAACCAGGTCGTCTGCATAGGTGTCACAATGAACGCAGAGACGACCCCGCCCCCTCCGCAGACACTCTGCTGCACCTCTCCCTAATTGCAGGTGACCGCAGACAGGAGGCCTCTGATTTGTCAAATCTACATTCGCTTTACACTATCCGTATTTCCTGTTAGGTTCCTTACCGGATTGTTTTGTTTGTAGGACCGCCATTGTGGAAAACAACTCGTGAAGTTTGACTGGGTAGAAGAGCAAGGTGCGCGAGAACGCTAGGACCCTTTTTCCACCTGGATCTCTGCCCTTTTTCGCCTTCATGCTCCTCCGTTGTCACACAAACTTGCCCCTACTTCCGCACGGCCTTGGCTGTGTCAAGACCCACAATTAGTTTCTGATTGTCCCCTTTTGTGTTGTATTGTGAATAACAGCACAGACCAGGCTTCAAAATTGGGGATAAGTCAAAAATGTCTGCGTCATACCTGTGACAAGCTCACTGCGAAACACTGCTGCAGGAGAATAACCAGCCATTAAAACCACCACAGTTTCAAATCAACCTCATTAAGGCTAAAATGACTGTCCATTCTGCTTGTTTTTGGTCTCAGCACACCAGTCGTCCCTCTGGACCTGCAGGAAGTCGAGAACAAGATTGAAGGCTTTAAGAGCTTCACTAAGAAAATGGACGAGAACATTGTCGTGGTGAACACGTCCATCAATGAGTTTGCCCGCAAACAGATAACGGGCTTCAAGAAGGAGTACCAGAAGGTGGGGCAGTCCTTCAAGCATCTGGCGCAGGCGTTTGAGCTGGATCAGCAGGTCTACTCGGCAGGCCTTAACAGGGCCATCTCTTACACCGGCGAAGCCTATGAGGCCATAGGGGAGTATTTTGCAGAGCAGCCACGCCAGGACCTGGAACCAATTTCTGATCTGCTGGACCTTTACAGAGGACATCTGTCCAACTTTCCTGACATCATCCATGTGCAGAAAGGTGGGGAGCACTCTTTGTTTCTTTGAATGAAATCATTTTAATCATTCATCAAGAGCAAAGATAGATTTTTTACATCTTTCTTTGTTGTATATTTCTATAAATACGTCGTCCTAACATTGTTTCAGAACTGCTCAAATAATGTGGTGAGTAATGAGAGAGGAATGCCTCTGAAGTTACATGCAGATGTGAGAAGGGGTAAAGACAAAGCCGCGCAGGCCTACTTCTGCCCTGAATAACCGGCGCCTCCCAGTTTCCAGACGGCAAAAACGTCACTTTTAAAAATCCTGCCCGATTTTCCATCTAAAAAAAGAACATTTACGACTTGTTCAAAGCGCATCTAACCCTTAATTTCTCCATTAATGACGTCAAAGGTAGAGCAAGAAAATAATGCAAAGTTACTGTCTGTTTCCACCCCAACTAGGACATCTGTTTTCATTTACCCAACTGCTGAGTAAATCTGGGTTGAAAACTGAAGCCAGCGGGTCATTGTAACACAAGTCCTGAGCCTCCATGTAGGAACACACACCCATGCTCACACTCAACGACCAGCCTTCACAAAGAGTTTCCAGGGCAGTTAGCTTGTTGGTGCCTTGCAGGTTGGGAGGAGGGAGCTGCTGCTGGCATGCAAACGCCAGACGTTTGCCAAACCTAGAGGCACCAATTCTCCTAGTCTGTTCTCATGACACAATGTCAGCTCTAAGCTATTGAAACAACCACAATTGGAAACTTCCCTGTGACTGACATAACATCACCTTCTGTTTGACTGGAGTTTATTTTATTTTAATAGATAATACAGTGATTTAAGCAGTTTAAAATCTTAAATCGCGTGCAACGCCATAACGTTTCAGGAAACCCTGAAAAGAAATTGTCAAACAAAACATATTATTTATTATTTTTAAATTGTAAGATGAATAAGAAGCACCAATCAGGCTTTTCCCGATCATTATCCAGTTTTTCCAACTTTTTGATCTGCAGATTTCGATTATTTTCCTAAAATTTATTTCTGTTAACTTACATATAAAAATACAAAGAAAAAATGTAAATGTCTTGACTTTGAACTTTAATGAACTTAAATTAAAGCCTTTTTATCCGCATGTTTACAGAACCAAATGCTTGGATGCATTTAATCACCAGAAAATTATAAGGGCACATTCTCAAAAATTTCCCCAACATATCAGTCTCCCTATTTGAGTGCAGATAAGCCCTGCTGAGTTAGTGCAGACTCCTGCTGTCAGGATTTCTGCATGTCAGCAGACAAACAGCCATGACCTCATTGGCCTAATGCATAGTTTAGTCTACCGTCAGGCTGGTGGAATTAGTACAAAGATCACTAGTCTAGTCCCACTTTCTATAGACATTAATTTAGTGAAAAAGATAGAAAAATACAGCTATAGGTTTATTTGGACTTGTTTAATGTATGGAAATAGCTTATTGTATAGTTTTACTTATATAACCAAATTTTAGGGCTTAAACCATTTTGTCTTTAAAACTTATCACATCAAAGTGTGAGAAGGAATTCTCACACTTTCAGCTTTGTAGATCTAACTTTTCTGAGTTGTCAGTCCTGGTTCTGCGTGCGACTTGAAGGTTTTACATCTGATTTGAATGAGCAGAGATTCATGGGCTTCTTGTCCCATGTTGCCCCCGGACTGCAGGAATGCAGCAATGGAGCAGCTTTAGGATTAGATTAGCTTCCCCTCCTCCTCTTTTTCTCTCTCCCACTTTTTTCTTTTTCCCTTTCTTCTTTCTGGTAGATGTTTCCCACCAGGACGGCGCTACGAGAGTTCAAATTACAGCGCTGTAATCGCCTCTACTGTGGGGGGAGAGCAAAGTCTTGCTTTTATGATTTGCTTTTTGTTTCTGAGAGAGAAAGAAAGAGAAATCTTTCTACTGCTGCCCTGTCAGTTCTTCACTCTTAGTTCCCCTCCATCCCTTTTTTTATTAGGCAGGTCTGCTCAGACCGCTTCCGCACTGAAAGTTGAGTCATATTAAACACTTAGACATGTCTGTGAGGTTGGGCAATACCAACGATGCATGGAAAAAACAGCCTTGTTGCTGTTAAAAAAAGGGTAGTTAAAGAAAAGGGTAAACCAAACCCACAAAGTTAGACTTAAATCATATTAAGCTTTGACTTGTGAATAGATGTTGATAGAGTTCACATTTAGAGACAAAAACATTTTTCTGCTGACTGTTTAAACTCTGGGTCTGAATCACAGAGGCTATTTTAGCAGAGACAGGAAAATATAGGACAGGAAATGACTATTAAAGACATGACATTAGCACCTTTTTTAAAGGGTCCTGTATTTATGGAACACTTGAAAAAAAAAAATCCTTTCATGAAGTGCTGTCATAAGTCATAAGAATAAAGTCAGAAGAATTCACAACAATTTGACGGAATCACTAAACTAATATTGGTAAAACAAACACAAATTAAAAGAATTTCAGAGAACATTAAGGCTCTCAGCAATGCATGCTGTCATAAAGTTTCTGTTTTTTTTTAGGCTTTAAAATGTTTAAATTCTACATTCAACGTCACACATGTTCTTTACCTCCTCACAGAAAATAATAAAAAAATCTGATTTGGTAGATAAAACCTAAAGAATTACAATAAGCTGGTTGCAGATGTTTACAGTAGGGAAAAAGTTAAGCAAGATCCAGTCTTCTTTGGCTGAAGTTCATCAGTGTTCAATATCTTTACTAAGTGATGTTGGTTCAACCTACCTTCTGATGGTTTGTTCTGATTATGTCTGTCTTGATAAAACGCCCATTTTAGTCTAAATTTAAGTGACAGCAGAGCGTGAAGCTGCCACCAACATATTTCCCAGTGGGCATGAAGTTTTATTTTAAGCAATGCAATATGCTGTTTCATTTGTTAACGTTCTCAAAATAATGGCCAAAATGTTTCAGTTTATGTCTTTCAAACCATACAACAAATAATCTTTTTTTTTTTTTTTACCAACTTTTTTATTTTTGATTATGTCCCTTTACTCTTTTGTTGTTCTATTATTTCCATTCAGGATTTAATAGACCACCATTTTTAGCAGGTTAAAACGTTTTTGCATGATAGAAATGTCAATATGGATAATTTTAAATGAGCAGCTTACTGTAAAAAGGAACATTACCCCCCAAAAACATTAAATGAGATATACTTTTCAAAAGCTGAACACACAGGAAACATGTTTAAAGAAAGCAGGAGCTCACAATAGAACCCTGAGGGATGACATGTTGCTAATCCTCAGGGGATTAGGACAGTTTAGTATTTGAAACTACAATCCTGATCCTATCTATCTATCTATCTATCTATCTATCTATCTATCTATCTATCTATCTATCTATCTATCTATCTATCTATCTATCCATCTATCCATCTATCCATCTATCCATCTATCCATCTATCCATCCATCCATCCATCCATCCATCCATCCATCCATCCATCCATCCATCCATCCATCCATCCATCCATCCATATTTTTGAAGGAAAAGCACTGCACTTTTCAATGAAGATAACTTTAAACTAGTCTTAACTTTAAAGAAATACACTCTATACA